CCGCATCCCTGAAGGAAGTCAGGAGAGAAACTCAAACAGGGCAGGAACCTGGAGGCAGGAGCTGAGGCAGAGGCCATGGACGGGTGCTGCTTAGTGACTTGCTCCCTATGGCTTCCTCAGCCTGCTTTTTTCTAAGACCCAGGAGCACCTGCCCAGGGATGGCACAACCCTCAATGGGCTGAGCCTCCCCCTACCAATCACTAATTAAGAAAATGCCTACAGGCTTGCTTACAACCCAATCTTATGAAACCATTTTCCCAGTTGAGGGCCCCTCCTCTCAGATGACTCTTGCTTGTGTCAAGTTGGTATAAAACAAGTAAGCACAGCTAGGAGCAAAACACAGCGTATCACTAGATTTTGTTTAAGGAAAAGTTAAGTGAAACATAATTTCTTAACACACTAAAAGTCAGCTTGGCTATGCCGTACATATAATACGCTGATAAAAATAACCCATTAAGCAAATATGATACATGGAAAAACTGTGAAAACCAGTGAACCCAAAAGGAATTTGTCTCATAAAACTCAGCACTAACATCTGGCTATCTTCGGGGGGTTTAAAAGATTCCTGAGGTGGAGGACGGGGTGACACAGGAGAAAAGCGTCAGCATGACCAACACAGCAAACCAAAGGGAAAAGATCATGAGATGCTAAAGCAAGAGACACATTTCTAGGATGGAGGCACAACCAAACTTCAGGGAGAGTGCTGAGCCTCTACAGTCCCGCTGCGAACCAAGTGGGTAACCAACCCCCACATCCTAACATGTATCCCTAAATGCTGAAGAGTGTGTGATGTGTTGAGAGTTTGTCTGTTGTAAGTTACAGCCCTTGGGAAAATTCAAAAGCAAGGGCAAAGCAATTCTTTCTCATTCAGAAAGGGTATTTTTCGTTTTGCCTTGGTTTGGATTCACACAAAGTTCCTGGGGAAGCCCAGGGCAGCAGGTCCACACTTCCTAGAGCTAGTGTCACTAAGAGACCGGGTTCTGTAAGGGAGCCCAGGGGAGTTCTCACGGGGAGAGTTTGCCTTACTGAGCCTGTGCTTCAGTAAATATCAGGAAGAGGTGAACACAGAGAAAGAAAACCACAGTCAAAAAGCAAAAACATGTTGATGAGGAAAGATGGGCTGGAAGTAATGGAGAGGTTTCAGTTAAACAGCAAGGCATGAGACAGGAGCCTGCTGCTGCTGCTGCCCTACCGCATTCGAGTACTGAAGGATGGTTAAACACAATAACCGTCTCACATTCAAAACTAAATATGGATAAGGATGGCAGGTGACCTCAGGAATCCACCGAGGTGACCACAGTACCCGAGGACAGAGTTCGTGAACAATCACAGACTCTGAGACCTTCTCTGAAGCTAGAAGTGGCTAATGCTCACATAGATTTCATTGCCTGTCAGACGTTATTTTACACACTTTACACATTTATATCCATTTCTTCCTTCCTGCAATAACATCACAAAGTAATTTCTATCAGTCTCTGTTTTGTAGATGGGAAAACTGAGGCTTTAAACAGCCCAGGGGAATGTCCAGACTTCAGCCCTTGAGCAGAGGATTGGACCTGTGGCCATGAACATGGCACTGGTCTCCTCTTGTTTAGAAATTTCCAGAAATATCTTGGCCTAAGGCTGGGCAATAGGGGCCCAGAAAATAAGGGTACTGGCAACCACGGCTGATGACCTAAGTTCCAGCCCCAGGATTTACATATTAAACAGAGTACTGGCTCCAAAAATCTGTCCTTTGACCTTTCTCACTGCATGTGTGTGCAGGCATGGGTTTATGCACATATAAACACACATACACACACACAAATAAAAGTAATATGAATCAGATATATTGGTATAAATGTTTATATGCCCAGCTCACCCTTCAGTAACTGGCGTACATAGTCAATGAGGCCGAATGGTGAAGCTGATGAAATTGGCCAAGCACCTCACTCTGAGCAGAGGCCATCTCTGGAGCCTCCTTTGCATGCTCTGCCACTGTCCTCCCACCTTTCCTAATTTTCCTCCACAACAAAAGCACATGCTAGCTGTGAGGAATGGTTTGAGGAACACATTCTGTGAAGAGTCAGTGGTCAGAGGATCCCAGTAAAGAGCCAAAATTCAGGAAGAGCTGGCTGAGTGACTCTTAAACGCTAAGGGATCGTCCTTCTCATTATGTCGTGTCATTAAGATGGATCTTCATTTTTGTCTTAAACCAAAAGCTCTCCTAAGACTTTCACATTGTTCCTCACACAGCGGAAATATTAACTTGAGAGTCAGGTACAGGTGACAAAGCCACCTCATCCGCCTGGGCTAAGGCAGGTGACGCTGCGAGAGACCCTGGGCACTCTGACCGAGGATGCCAGGGAGTGGAAGCTGTTTCTGGATCCGGAGTGGGGGTGGGCAAGTCAGTCCTGCAGGTGGAATATGCACACCACAGCATAGCACCCCAGCAGAAGCGGAGAGCCAGTTCAGTGGGGAACATCTGCCAGTTGTTTCTAATGAAGGAGAGTCACTCTTCCAATGAGAAAGCAGAGATGAAGGATCGTCTCAGACTGGGAATAAAACTGAGATTTTTAACAGTGCCAACATCAGGCATATATATATATATATATATATATATATATATATATATATATATCTCCCCACCATTTGGAGGGATGTGCAGTGTGTGAACAAGAGAATCAGGAAAGAAGCTCCTTGGAATTAAAAACATATTGGAATGAAAATAGTTTCATTAAGCCTGTGCCCAGTTAAAAATACAGAAGTTTTATTAGCTTGGACCATGTACAATTGTCAGATTTCTAATTTACAAAATGGCCAAATAGACTCAGCGTCCCTTGATTCAGCCCAAAAGAAGATGTCATAGCAATCAATGAAAGTCAGCACTGTGAGATGTCCTTGATTCATGAAAAAATACTCTTCCCATAGTCACACCGCTGGTGATGGAATGCTTTCTGCCCACGGCGGCTGGGTTCAACCAGGCTGTCAGTGTCTCCCCCAGAGCACGTACTATTCAGCAAATGTGGGACCACTCACAGTGCGTTGGTGTGTGGGCATAGTGGGCAGAAGGTCATTTTCCCCATGGCTGTATCACCCATTGTGTCTTGCCCAGCCTGGGAAGAAGTTGCTCAGCTAGGATTCCCCACCCTTTCTGGTGCTGTTGGAGGTTATGATCTCATTTGCTTTCCATCGATGTGATAAATGAGCAACTAAAGCCATCTGTATTTAGCTTACAGGCAGGCCCATCAACAAGGGAAGCCTAGACAAGGACTCGAGACAGAACCCTGAAGGCAGGAACTGAAGTCTGCCGTGGAGGACTGCTGCTTACTGGCTTGTTCCTCATGACTTTCTCAGCCTGCTTTCCTACACACCCCAGAATCATCTACCCAGGCATGCACTCCCCACAGAGTGCTAAGCCCTCCTATACCAATCATTAGTCAAGAAAATACTCCCAGGCTTTCTCACAGGGCAAACTGTTCAAGGCAATTCCTAACGCCAGGCCTTTCTTCCCAGGAGAGACTAATTTAGGTCAAGTTGACAAAACTAACCTGCGTAGGTATTAAACCCACCTGTATTGGGACCCATAGTAGAGAATGACGGACACTGCTTCCGGGAAATATCCTGCCACGCCAAGGGTGGAGGAGGCTGAGGTATGCATGGACCCAAAGGGCAGGCAGGTCAAAAATTAAAGGAAACAAAGGCAAGAAGACTTCACATTCAATATGAAAATATTAAGTTACCTCTAAGGAGGCATTGTCTGAGTTAAATAAAATATGAAAAATAAAGTCACAGACAGTAAGAACAAGTGATACTTTGTGAGGAAATCAACCTCTTCCAAGTTGTTAGCTAAATACTTCCTTCCACTACCACTACCACTACCACTGCGCTTGCTCTCTCTCTCTCTCTCTCTCTCTCTCTCTCTCTCTCTCTCTCTCTCTCTCTCACACACACACACACACACACAAACATACACAAAATAAGTGGCTATTTAACATATAACGAAACTAATAAAATTTAAAAACAGGATTAATAAAGTCCCATTTTCTATGCCTTTAGCAAGCCAACCTAGTCCAAAGTCATTCTAACCACCTTCAGCTTTCTGGGGAGTTGAAGAGACATCCTAGAATCCTAGAGTGTCACCCCTCAGATTCCCATCCTGACAGCCTGCCCCTTCCCCATACACTTTTCATCCTAAGTCCATACCTCCCACAGCAAGGGAAGGGCAAAGAAGGCCATCTACTCTTTTTAACAAGTTCGCACCCAAAAAAATACTAAGCATTTTTTTAGACAAGCATTTTTAGACAAGAGAACAAGGGATGTAGCGCCACCTAGTGGTTAAATGTTACCATCTACTTCAAATAAAACCCTACTGACAAACCACAAACCAGCCCACCCAGCTGGAGCAGAGGTGCAGTCAGAGGGAGCTCAGCTGTGTTCCTCTTCTGCCAAATTCCTATGCCGTGAGCTGGATGTACAACGACCCATTTTAGAGGGGCAAAAGACCTCAACCACCTGAAACCCAACAATCCGCGTCCCTGGACACTGCTTTCTGAACCCACAACTGCAGAGAATGTCCTGGCTTCTCTGCAAGTGTTGTCCCTAAAAGGGTAGCAAATAAGGGTTTCACGTTCACATAGGAAATGCACCTAGTCAAGCTTTGCTGGGTAAGAGACACCTTTCGACCTCTGAAAACCTCACGAAAACAGGAACACAGTGGGGGGCGGGGTGTGCAGAAAAACATGAGAAATCAGCTTTTGTTCAATGAAAGGCCACCCACCCCCGCCGCCGCCCCATAGGTGCTTAAATCAGGTTTACTGTTATTTTAGAGCTAGACCCAAAATGAAATGGGAGACTTGCTGCACGGCCTGTGTTCCAGAGGGCCTTGAGAACCCTGCGAGGGATCACAGCAGCTGCGCTTTCGATGGATGGAAAATGCGATTTCAGATCTACCACGGTAACAACACTGGGGATCATTGTTCCCTCAAGGCCAGGAGACACTGAGCCAAAAAAGCACATACCTTCCTTCTCACGGGAATCCAGAGCTTTGTATGTTTAGGCGTGGGTGTCTGAAAAGCGTCTCCATCCTTTCCTTTCCCCAGATCCGGGGCAACAGTCCTTCTTCCCCTTCTCGAGGGCAGAACCATTAGGACTAGTGATCATGACCATGCAGTGGGAGACCCCAGCCTGAGCACTGCTTAGTGCAAACCCTGGCGGCCTAATAATACACTGCTTAAAACGATGTATCCAAACGAGCTGTTCCAGTCAACCAAGTAACACTAGTCACTCGAAATCATGATATGCAACACTTCCAAAATAAATTAATTCGAAGGACGTGAATCTCCATTGCAATTTTCCAGAAAAACGGAAGGTTTCTAGCCCCTGGCTAGCTGTGTCAGCTGGAGCAACTGAGCTCTTGCAGTCCCCGGGAAAGGTAAGACAACCTCTGATTAGGCTTCAACTGTGGCACATGCTTCAAAACTTCCTGCCTTGGTGCTCGCATCCTGTTGTGGCCTCCTGTCTCCAAGGTCTGCTTCTTTACCACCAGCTGTTAAGGATGCATCCTGTGCCCCTGCCCCCACTAAAGTCAGCACAGGCTTTGAGAATTCACCAAGTCCCTGGTTCCTGCTCCCAAAAATGCTTAGATTCTTATCTTGGGGATTTCTCTTATCTGCTTAGTGACCTGGTTTCTCTGACAGGAAGGATGGGAGACCAAGAATGGGGTTCTCCACCCCTGCAGCTCTGAGGGGGCCCTGGACAGACTCTTTTGCATTTTCTTGTGGCTTTCAGCACATCCACAGCTGCCACCTCTGTGCTGGCTTTGTCACCAAGTGGGACTGGGGCTGCTGGGGCTGTCTTTGGTAAAGGTCACTTCAGCACAGACTGACTGATCGAGAGATGATCAAGGTTATTTCTCCTCTCCAACTTTTACAAAAATAAACAAGAAAGGAGAGAGAAAGAGAGAGAGAGAGAGAGAGAGAGAGAGAGGAGGGAGGAGAGAAATGTACTATGAGAGAAATAGCAGTAATAAGTATCTATCTATTATCTATTCTGGAAAGCAAGAAGACAAAGGAATTGTCACTCAGTCTTGGTCTCACAGAGTTTGCAGTACTAGGCGACAGTGACTGGAGGCAGCCCCTGCACCCAGCCCATGCTCCCAACATGCCTCAGAGGGCTTACTCTGGGGACGCTCTTCAGTGATTTAGTAACAGCTAATGTATCTCCTTGCAGTTCTTCTGCCCCCATCCACACAGCTTTCTCTTGACACTCTAATTTGACCAAAAAAAAAAAAAATGGCTTTTTCAAAAATCACAGTCGGAAGAGAGGGAACAAATTTGTCCTCCTCCTCCTCCTCTCTTCTCTTCTGAGATGCCTGGTTGCATTTCACCCTGTTCAGAGGCCGATTAGTTAATGCAACTGCGGGCTTGCCCAGGAAGAGAACTGCCAGTTGTAAGTGCACCAAAGAATACCAATGCCTGGAGCACAAACCAAGACACCAGGGAAAGCCAACCTAGCTGATGCTTAAAGGGGTTCTCACCTAACCCAAACCGAACAGTAATCCTAACTGAACAGTAACCAGAACCCAACACTAATCCTATCTTCAGATATCTAAACTGCAAAAATGAAAGGTTATGAGCCAAGGACTTCTCCTGTGTAGGAACTGACTACGTCACTTAAAAATCAAGAGCAAAGACTGTCAGCAAGCAAATCTGTTAAGCAAGACTTAAAGTGAGATGGGATGGGTCCAACTACTGTTCCCAGGCAACAGGCGGCAAGGGGGCCCCTGGTGGCCTAGAGAATAAGACCTGATCGACTATGAGTGCCTGCCCCCCGTCCAGTGTAAAGCTACCGAGAGTCCCTTCTGCGACCAGCGCCATAGATATGAAATCCTCAGTCCAAATCCTAAGGGAAAACTGATACCAAAACTTCAGGTTTCTTCCTCTGTCAATATTGTTTTTATATTCATGATAAGAACAGATATTTCGGCTAGGTGGTTGGTGACGTACAGCTTTCATTCCAGCACTTGAGAGGCTGAGGTAGGTGGATCTCTACGAGTTCGAGGCCAGCCTGGGTACAATAGTTAGTTCTAGTACAGGCTGCAAAGCTACAGAGAAACCCTGTCTCAAAAAACCAAAATAAAGAAACAGATAAACAGATACTTTAGTAAGTGTCAAGGTAGTTCTTTGGAGTACACGCCAGACCCTGTAGGCCTTGGGGATCTTACCCATTCCCTTTCTTCCTGGCCCCCATGTCTCGGGTCATACTCCCTCTTTGGCTACTGGGGCTCTCTTTCTTTCTTTATTCCATACAAAAACTACATTTGAATTTTTATAATAGTGTTATTCTTATTTGTCCCAAGCTGGAAACAGTTCAGTGTCAACCACTGCATGTATGGAATGATAAAGGGCCTACTCTTGTTCAGATGTTAGTCCAGCCTAGGGACAACCTTGCTCCGTTCTTCTGGACATTCCCAGGACTCCCTTCTGCTCCTCTCTCACCTGTCACCCTCCAGGACAAGCTCAAATTCTGCTTCATCAAGAACCCCTTCCTTATCCTGACCTGGCTTGGACCCGCTGACTCTTGCACATTTTTTATCCTCTATTATTCCTCCTAGTGTCTGTCATCATGCAAAGGAAACACCCCCTGGGTAACTGACTTCTGAAGGGCAGGAACAACAGACTGTTAAGAGAAATGTAAAAGAAACTTCCCTTGGGTGGCAACCTCTGTGACGAGGCTATCCTACCCTGGACCGAGGAGTCTCATCTCAGCTCTGCCACCTGCCAGCTGTGTGACTCTGGGCATTTCAACTCTTCCAGGAGTTTCTTCTTGATAGAACTGAGCAATTTGCATCACAGAATCTCTTCTTTGTTTCGAGTTTTTGTTTTATAGCATGTTTTGTTTGATGACGGTTTCAACACATTAGTCATTAGACTGTAAGAACGGCTGTGCCTAGAAAGGTGTTGTCCATAGTTTAGAATGGCGAATTACAACTCCTTCCTATCAAATTGTAGGTGACCACCAATCTCTGAGGAACCATTTGATCGCCTATCTGAAGCTGACGTCTGTGGATTCAAGCAGTTTGAACTGTCTTGACTTCTATTGTTTTCATTGCCAAATCAGTTCCTGTAAAATGATATGAACTAAGTGAAGAGTATCAATTTTATTGCAAAAATTTATCTTGGTGTTGTTTCAACTTAACCTTGTTGGTGTGTTACTTTTCTTTCCAATCTAAGGAGCTTGAAATGGAATACATAAGTCACAGTTCTGAGTAAGACAGTCTTCAAAGTGTTCATGTGATGTGGAATACGTATGCATATGTTTCAAACAGACACGCACACACACACACACACACACACACACACACACACACATACATGCACATACAATGCATTTGTATCTTATGTTGCTATGGTGATTTGATTTACCAGAAAGCAAAGCACTCTGTCTTTCTGGAGGATCGTTCAAGGACATGGTTTTCAGAAAGATGCAAATTCTGCATTCACTCCAACTTTGAATTTCTTTCTAAGTTCTGGTTCACAGATATCCAGAAAAATAATGTGTAGGGTTTTTGTGTGTGTGTGTTTTGCTTATTTCGTTTGTTTATTTCTTTGCCCACAAAATAGAGGTTGGGAAGCTCAATGCTGTTAATGGGTTGATTCATTTAGAGGAAAGCCCCACCATGCTGAGCATTCTTCTCATCCTCATTGTTCTTTCCTATGCTCTGAAAACATATTTGTGTCTGTGAATGGGCATATGATCTGGGAGGAAATACAACATGGTACACGTTAGAGAGCTAGGAAAGCAGAGAGTGGGGACTTGGGTGTGTCTTTGGATGCTCAGCTTAAATTAGGAAGCCATGCCATCCAATCTTCAGCAAGACCACGGGAATAAACTGACTATATGATGGCACCAGATTACCTGGGGTCATGGACATCTTCAGCCCATAAACAGGACAGTGCTGATCACCCCGCACTGGATGCACATCTCTTGGACTGCCTGTGAGCTCAGCCGCAAGAGTGGGAATGAAAATGCTACAAAATCTTTCCTAAACCGGGCAGCTAACCCATTCATCTTCTCGACTAAATGATTCTGCCTAACTCCATCATAAAATAACGCTTGTTTTTATTTGTTCCTATTTATCTACCACTGATTTCAAATGATCCTGCTTACATTTAACCTCCATGTTCATGAGATAATTTATTACCTGAGATTGGCAGAGTTACTCCATTCACTCTTATTACAACCATGTCATTCTTTCCCAGGCTTCACTCCGGAGTATTATGACAAAATAGCGAGAATGTAATTTTAACAAACATAAAAATTATTGCCAGGCAGCTGTGCAAGTATTTCTCCCCTGCACTGAGGTCCACAATCAATTCTATTCGTGCATACCGCACAAAGAGAGACATAATTTAACACCCCTTGATTTTTCTCCTCTCCTGATGTATTGAGGAGGTAGTTAAAGGCTTGGAAACCCTGTGCCAAATATCTGCAACACTCCTTCTGCAAAACCTGGAACAAAATAATTAAGAAGCTGCTTAAGCAACCATTTGCCACAAACCAGATTGAGGGATTTGAAATATGTACAAATATTTTTAAATAATGCCCCAAAGGGGAAATTCGCACTAATAAGTAAGGTCTGCTGTCGCTCCTGCTGGCTCACGCTACATCCTGGGAGTGCACATGAGTAAATAGAAACAGGTTCCAGCATTTCTCGTCTTCCCTAAGGTATCTGAAGAAATCCTCTGATTTTAACTGCTGCAAATCTGGGCCAGAGCCTTTTCTAATAAGATTCTGTAATCTTCACAGCACAATACTCTCGGTGTTCAAGCAATCCCATGACTCACAATTCCCCAACAGTTACTACGTCGGGGTGAACTTCTGAGATTCAGATAACATTAAGGCTGTGGTTTATGCCCTGATTGATAACATAGCCAATGGAGGCAACCCGTCCCAGAGAAAGGATCCAGAAAGCTTTGCATAGTGTTTATGATACCGATAACCTCCTGGCTGACATCTATAGAGGGAAACCTTTGACGGATGAAAGGGACTAAAAGATCTTTTGCACCCAGATAGCACTGGTGAGTTCCTTGTATATCATTCCTTAGACAATTATGGCACTTTAGTTATTCTGTTTGGTCACAAATGCTTAACTGATTTTTTATAGCAATATGTTTTGCAGAGAGGGCTTGATAAATATAATGAAATCGTTTTATGCTAGTTCCTAGGGGACAGGCCATGGAAATGCTGTTAAATGATAATATTTCTTTGTTGTACATTATATTAGTCCTTTCACTGTGAGTAGAGCTAGAATCTAATTGGAATGTTTAAGAGCCTCCCAGGCCAATAAATCCCCTGATTCTCAACACATTTGTCCCCCACAGCATGAATACTAGCCTATCAGAAATTCAGAGTCTCAGACCTCTCCTCAG